GTGCCAATACACAATAGATTTAGAGACGCATCTTTAAAAAAAAAAAAAAAATAATGCTTAGCAAGAAAAGATATGTATATGGTTAATGCAGGATAAGGAATTTTTGAAATATATAAGGGATAAGTATTTGACTAATTTCGAAAACTGATTAAAAATTTTTAATCCATGTCAAAGAGTCAATTTCCACAATGTATGAACATTTTTTACTTAAAAAAATCATTTACATTCAAAAATGTTGACAACGGCCAAAACCTATTATTGTTTATGTTTTTTCAAACGAGTGCCGAGGATATTGATAACGAATCTGCTGTAGATTTTGGATGGATAAAGAAAAAAGGTGAAAAAAAAATCAAAAAGTAAACAACAAAACAAAGCTTTATTAAAACTCTACAAGACTACAAAAGTGTAAAATTATTTTATTGCAGCTTTTGTGCAGTATCTCAATAAAATTTAAAATGAATAATAAGTTATCAGAAAAGCACTTTAATAACTAAGTTCATATGTTGTTTATTTGTCAATTTATTCTGACAAATTTGACTTTTTTTTTAAAATTAACAAATGACTAGAAAAAACTAGAAATTTAAAAAGTCCCTAATAAATAATATTTAGTACAGGATAAATATAGGACATTTTTTCTAGAATATATAGAACTACGATGGCTGTTGATTAATTTATATAACATTATCTCTTAACTAAGTAAAAAAAGATCAAATATTGTGAAAAAGATATTAACATCAACTTTAAACCAGTTGGCTTTCATTTATTAAAATATGAGACAGGTTGATGATTTTGCATTTAAATTTTAAAGGAAGCAAATTCATTTATTCCCAAATGATTAGAAAATTTTTTAATGTATGGAGTTAACACACAATTTCTTGAAAAGTAATAATAAAAATACAATGGACAACAGACAATTGACAAAGTCATAATAATTTTACACTGCTTAATTGACTTAAAAATACTAACTTAGTTTGATTTGTGTTGGGAAAACGAGGATCAAAAGGAGCGGTCCAAAACTTAGGTTTTTCCTGCTCAGATTGAGACATGACTGCAACTGACATTATACCTAAAAAGGGGAAAAAAATATAAGGTTTCATATCTCACTATCAGGAAAACATTTTTGCTTTAAAGAAAATAATAGATATTCTTAACGTTATACAAGATTCTGTAATAAATTGTATTATACTATGAAACCTTGTCAACTGATCTCTGAAACATGAATTATAGATTACTGTATAAAAATTTGAGCTTCCTATGCAAGGAGACAACGTGCGATCCAGGGTTCAAAACTCTGGAATGGTCAATCAGCAGCAACTTGCCCATGCAGCTAGCTAAAAATTTATTTGAAAAACTTACACAAGAAATTTTTTAACTTAGAATCAGGGTGCCATGTTTCTAACACAATTAAAAAAACTGCCTTGGTAAAACTGCAGTCTAAATAAATAGGTTTCCAACCCAAGAAAAAAACTATTTTCAAAGGAAAAAATACAAAAAAATAAATTTTTAAATAGTTTATAATTGGTACTTAATAAAATTGATGGTATTAATTTCTTAGGTATTTAATGTATCATTTTAAAATAAGTGAAAGCTAAAAAGCAACACATGACAATAAAAATTAAAGAATTTCTTAAGAAATAACTGTAGTTTACTATTTAACCAAAAATAATTAGTATTTTACAAATAAAGTAAAAATTATATAAGATCTGTTAAAATGTCGCAATAGATTTTTATAACACGATTAAATTAACATATCACAAACTCATATATAATATTACAAATCACACACCGAATTCACAAATGATATACCATTTATTATGAATACTCAAATCTTACTTTAATTCTGATATATAGATTTTGAAAAAGTAGACATGAAAAACAACTTTCAGGTAGTAGTATATTGAATTTTGTTAGTTTAAACTTAATGTATTCTCATAATACATATTGATAAATAATTTTACTGATCATTTTTAAATTATTCTATTTCATTCCAATGTCCTGAAATAAGTAGCTTTATTTTTGATGAAAACTCAACCTTTTCTTGAATAAATACAAAATTATAACATTAATATTCAAAGAATTATAACATTAGGTGTATAAAAACCTACCACACTGAAGCTGGTAACTTGCCATAACTTATTTAAAGACAAAAAAAGTAATATTTCAAATTATTTTTACATATATGAACATTATACACATCGTAAATATTAATTAAAAAAAAAGAGGCAAATATATTGCATTGATTAACAGATGATGAGATTTTACAATTAGAATTTTATTAGAATTTGTCACAAATTAGAATTTGTGACAAAATTGCTATTCATTAAAATATAAGTTAAAAACAAACACTATTTTTTTTCTATCCACCAATTTTTTAAATGTTAGCCATTTCAGAATTATTTTTTTCAGATTACCAATCTTATACTTTTGTATTTGCCTCAGTTGTTACTAAATTCTGTGGCGTAACTACCACTACGAAAATTAAACATCAATTCACTGGTATATAAGACATGCTAACTCGATTCACTCATGAGGTACTTTTTGATAGATGAAGGTTGGCATGGTCGTCAACTACGCCCCACATTGGTGACTTGCTGATGTGATTTGAACACGCAGTAACGCCCACTTCGATCTGGTAACACCTACTGCGATGGATGATCCACTTGCTACTCCACACGCTGTTGCAACTCAGTCTCGTCTCGATCACACACAACGTCAGCCTGCAAACATCCCACTGCTAAAGGCAACACAGGAGTGACTGCAACCGTGTAGTTAATACACCTCTCACATTCAGCACTAAAAAACCCAGTAACCTCAATCCAGCTCTCCCGGTCTTTCACAAGTACAGCAACTAGTAGTATCAGTTCATTGAATTCCATCCCTGATAAAATTCTGGTGGGGGAGTATTGTGGCGCAACTACCACTACGAAAATTAAACATCAATTCAGTAGTATATAAGACTTCCTAACTTGATTCAATCACGAGGTACCTTTTGATAGATGAAGGTTGGCATGGTCGTTAACTCCGCCCCCCACAATTCTAACTGATACTATTAGGGATTTTTCCCCTCTAAGTCTATCCGAAATTTTGTTTTGTTTTTTTTCCTAACAAATCAGTCCAAAAAAAATGGTAATGCATGGAAGAACTTTAAAAAAGAGTGAGAGAGTGCTGGTGAGGGTAGAATGTCTTGTAAACGAGATATTGCATAAGTAACAAAATTAAAATTTCAGATTGGAAGAACTTAGTGAAAATTTTGTCTAAATATAATTTATTGATCCGCGGAAGTCGTAAATAAGCTGAAGAATCATGTATTTCAGATGCGTTTTTTAAAGAGATACCTAACAGAATTAAATGTGTAAAAAAAAATAATATAGACTTCATGGTTTGAAAAATGTAGTTTTGTTTCATATTTACAACATTCCATGTACGTTTTTAGCATGAATAATTATTTATAATCATCAGATTTTTCAATAGATGCATCAAATGGGTGCCACTCTAAAAAAATTTCAATACTGAATTTATGTTTCGACCAATTAATACTGTATAGCAGGGATGGCGAACCAATGGCAAGCGTGCCATTTATGACACGCGATACTATATTTCGGGCACGCCACCCATCACAAAGTTTACTATGATTGAAACACATAAACAATTAAATTAAAATTCAAAAAAAAAAACAATTAATAACCACAAAAAACAAACAATAAATAACTAGCAAAAAAATTAACAGTCCTGCTTAAACTAACATACAATCTAATATAAATTATTTGTCATCTGATTTGCAGCAACAGAAGTCACACTGATGTTACTTTAAGTTGAATTATGCGTATAACTGAGACATTGCAAAAAGTTTTTTTTCCATAGTATATAAAAAGTTTTGAGTTGATAGCATTTAGTATTATTACTTTCTCAATAATCATGAAGTCAAAATTATTTGATGGCACGCCTATGACCACATTAAACAATTTTTTAGAAAAAATGGCACGTTGGTGCAAAAAGGTTCGCCACCCCTGCTGTATAGTGTTGTTTACTGAACTTTTAGAAATTTATAGCTCATTTAGTTATGTATCACTTTTAATATGTTAAGCATTAAGTAAATTTAAACTATTCTTAAAATTATAATATTTATTTAAAAATTTATTACATTATAATATTTATTTAAAAAATTGCGAGAAATTAATTTTTATTTATGTAATATTCTATTTATTAGTTTTACGAATAAATATAAATTGATTAACTATTTATTTACGGAAAAATTTCTTCATTTAATATCAATAAGAATATGCACATGATGTTTGTAAAAGTAGAAATATTTTCTTAGTTACTACAATTGGAATTTAAATTTAGGGAAACTTGGAAAACTTAGTTCGTCTCGAATCGTCTTTTTCTTTTCCCCCCCCAGAAGGGTTTATTCTATTAACAAAACAATAATGAAGATAAACAAATTTGTGAAGGGTCCGATTAAAAGATAAATTATTTTGTGAAGGGTTCGTTTTAATAAAAAGAGATTTCCTGAAGGGTCCGTTAACGGACCCAAATTTCTTCTAAACAGACCCCTCGAAATAGCTAACAGCTTATTCGACAGATGCACAATATTTACATGATAAAGACTATAATAATTCCATCAAGTTGCTTCGTTGTTTACAAAATACGGATCCTTGGAAATTCTCCAACAGGGCAGTAGATGTTTGAAGTGCAATAAAGTACTAGTTGAAAATTTATTCAAACTGTCTAACACATAAATACGTATTTTTTAAAAATTAATTTAAAAGAATACG